CCCCAAAACCCCAAAACCCCAGAGCTTTAATATTTGTGAGGAATTTTTATCATGTTTTATTCAATCAAATTATTAAAACAGCACTGGTTCATTGTAAATACAAATTTTAAATTATAAAGTAAACTTTAATAAGATTAGATAATTAATGGAGGAATAGACTAGCCAAATTATCAGCTCTGATTAATCAGGCTAATAGACTAATAAAGCATTAACAGATAAAAATAATAATAGTAACTAATACTTACCCAATGTTAATATGCACATTCCAACTTGGCTAAATTACTTGATGATTATTACTTCAATTGCTTGCTTGACTATTTCTATTTTCACAATTATGTTCTAAATTAAAAACCCTAAATCAAGGTAACAACTAATCATATGTGAATAATTTATAGGAGAAATATGGGAAGATTCTTTCTACTAATCTTAGGATTATAAACAATCGATAAATCAACGCTGCTCTTTTAAGAAATCATTTTTCCAGATCTCAGTCAGCCGTATTATGAGATAAGGTATGGAATAGAGCCCAGATCATTAGTCACTTAATTATGCTCTATTTTTGGTTGTTTAAAAACTATAATTGATTTCCTCTCTCAATTTTATGCTTTATGGCTAGCTATGCTAATCAAACAAATCATTAAAGATCCAATACATTAAATCAACAGATACATTCTTTTCTATCATGCATTAACATTCGTCATTTCTCTATCCTTAACTGGGTTCCTATCTCTTAGTAATGAATTCGGTGTTGAAGTAAATTGCTTACTCTTTTATACTAACTAATTTTTAGGAGTCAATATAGTGTGGAATTATGCACACTCCTGGACTTGATGATGAGATTTTAATGCTCCTACCTTTCATGCTTGTTCCAATAGAGATATTCTTGATTACTAAGATAATGAAGGAAACACCTTTTATTGTGAAGGAAACAGTAAATTTAAATAATCTTAAAACTCCTTCCTATAATAGCTGAAGAAATTTGTAAACAAATACATAGTTTATTTAGTATGCTTAATGTCTATGCAATGCATGCAGGTAGCACTTATACTCTTTGGTTCAAGAAAAAATTAATATTATTAATATGAAGAGGAAGATGGCTATAAATATTTAAGATATGTAATATTTCTTTCATAATTTTAGAATTTAGACTTATGTCTTGGGCGATAAGGTTACATTTTTATGTTTGACAATTTCTACTTTGTGTGAACCAGTATTTGAAGCAGCAGTAAAGAAGAAATGGCTCTAGTTAACGAGATAAAGACCAGTTAAAAAATATAAAAAGCCAAAAATTAAGGTTAGATTGAAGAATAAATGTATATTTAGACAAATAGAGGCTAAAACTAAGACTCTTTGATTTCATTTGGAGAAATGTCCATATCTCCACCTAGTGTAAATTCTCTATCAGTCAGTTCAGAAGATGATTTCGAGATTGGAGATAATTAGCTTGAAATGAAGGATGACTTAGATGTTGAAGACGAGTCTTAATTCCAAAGGTTAGTGAATGATGGTGATTAGCAATTTACTCGAACAACTAGAATGACTATGTCTCTTGAGCAAAAGACAAACTTTTTTGTAAGAACATAAATGATAATTATAATTACAGATAATCAACACTGTGCTAATGAGTGTGACCTAATGCTTTTTATTCAATAAAAGAGGTAGAGAAAATGTTGTGGGAATGGTTGGAGGCATTATCAAATTTGCTAAAAAAGCACTTACTTATCAACTGTAAGTTTTCTTTATATAACGAATGTAGGAGAGACAATGATCTAAATCATATTATGGATATGTCAGATTTCTATTAAAAATACTCAGATTACTGTGTCTCTGATATTACAAGTAAGTTAATTCTTAAATATTTATATTTAAGACGGCAGAAAGGTTCAAGTTAACATAACTGAGTATGGTCCAGAACTTATGAAGTAACTAAGAAAAAAATCAGGCTTTAATGATGAATTTTTGATAAAGTAAAAATTAAAAAAAAGTCTGATGTTATTCTAGTTCATTCTCCCCAAGAGAAAATGTTGCAGAGATGACCTAGTTCTAAGAAGGGAGCGGCAAGTCAGCTTCTTTATTTTTCTTCACGGCAAACAAGCAATTTGTCATTAAGACTTTGAAGCAAGCAGAATTGGATTTACTAGCAAAAAAGGGAGTTTTAGAGAAGTATTACTCATATCTATAGAAGCATCCTAAATCATTACTAGCACGTTTCTATGGTATCTATACTATAAAGATTCAGCATATGCGTAAGATAAATGTTATAATAATGGACAATTTAATGGGCAAGTACATTGAAGATGCTACAAGAATATACGATTTGAAGGGTTCAACTTTCCAAAGAATTGTTTAAGAGCCTAAGTCTGAACTTTAAACTAGAAAGGACTTAAATTTCTAAGATGACAGATAGTTCAGAATGTAGGTTAACAAAAATATGTAGAAAGATATTCTGTCGAGAATACATAAGGATAAGGAGTTTTTGAAATCATGTGAATTAATGGATTACTCACTACTTTTAGTATTTTTCAGAAAAGGTCGTATGCTTTAATAAGCTTAAAGCCCGTAAAATCTACAAGGCCAAAATCCATTTGATATAGCTACTGGAGATTAGACTTATAGAAATAGGAAGATGTCAATATTTATAAAGCATGGAGATGAGGGCAAGTACCTTTGTGTTGAAGAAGATAAGTTTTTCGATCATGATTCTCCAATCAATAAAAGTAAAAGTTTCCTAAATGCACCATCCATGAATCTAGGATTAGGCAGACTTAACAGTGACTAAGATATAAGGCCTATAGAGAAATCAAACAGTTTAGCCTTCGATGAGTATGTTAACAATAATGTAGATACTAATCACAATAAAAACTTTACTCTTGGTATTAATTAGTCTTCCTAGCCAACGATTCAGAGATCCCACAATAGTGATTAACTTAAACCAAGAACAGACGAATATATTCAATATGACTGTGAGAATGATGAGAACATATACTATAGAATCGGAATCATAGATTTTTTGCAAAAATATAATAGAGCTAAAAAGATGGAGAATAAATGGCTCAGATTCAGAAATAGAAATGTAGCCCCAGATACTTTTTCATGTGTGGATCCTAAACTTTATGGTGATAGATTTCTCAACTTCATGAAGACTAATTTATTTGGAAGAAGTGTAAGAGACTCCGAATTCATGCCAAGACAAACATTCAATATTCAGCTTTCTAATCTGCTAACAAGAGATAAGACATAAGCTAGAAAAAATTGAATTAATCAAATACACTTCAGAATTAATGATTTTACTAATAAAATGTATTTTAAATACATTAATTTTGATTTCATAAAATCGTAAAAATTGTATCATATGGGGTTTTGGGGTTTTGGGG